GATATATTTGTTATATGCCGAAGGACGAGTATGCTATGCTAATTACTTCAATTAAATTAGATATGTTAAAAATTATTATATGTTGCTTCTCATAATTTCATTCAGTTTTCGTTTCTTGAATTTGAATGCATCAGTATTGCTAATAAAAATCAAATTATTATTACTGCACAAAACATATATATTGCACTGAAATAAAAAAAAAAACAACCGGAAGAAAAGTGTTGAAAGGAAAAAAAATAATGATTAAAAACAAAAACATCCGCACAAAATATAAATTAAATTGCTAATTAACTAATTAATTAATTAATAGGAATACGCCTTCTTTGTTATGAAAGAAAAATGAACAATACAACTAATTTAAAAGAAAAAAAAGGTTATAAATTATTGAAATGAGATGTATTTGTGTATTTTTAAAAAGGAATCGATTTATTTGGCTGAAAATATAATTTGGAAATTTTATTTGTAAATTACATTCCATTCCAGTAAATAGGTGTACATATTTTCTTCTTTAATATTATATATCACTAATATTTATTAATTTCATATTTTGTCATTTTTTATACCTTTTTTAATATTGATGTCGTAGCATTAAAAATAACGAGAAATTTTGAATAAACCAATATTTTGTTTTATAAATTTCAATAATTTTATAACATAACATAGAATACGAATTAACCTTAAATACTATCACAATTCTTCAATTTCATTTCTTCTTCTCTGACATAGTTTTTTGTTTATTAATTTCAGCTTTTAAAATCAAAAAAAATTGAAATGAAATAGAAGAATGATAAAAACATATTTCTATTTTAATAAATGTAAAAGGTGAAGGATGATGATTTTCCCTATCAACGAGAGGTAAACAAATAAGCAAACAAATTAATAATAAGTGAAGAATAAAATGAAAGGATAAAATTAAGGCAATGAGATGCAAAAAAAAACAAAAACAAAATACCAATTTTTAATTAAGGTGAATGAAAGAAAGAAAAAACGAAACCTTTTTTTTGTTTTAAAAAAATGCAGAAAATACGCAATGTTATATGAGCAGAATTAAAATAAAGTGAAGAAGAAAATAGCATAATATAAAAAGGCCATAAAAGGTGATAGAATTATCGGAGAAAAGTTGTCTTTAGGATATCATTTAAATAAAGAGCTACAGCTTGCGCATTAGTTGCCTGATCAGCTTGCATAAATGCCAACGTTTTCTCCTGACATTCCAATATTTTTCGTTGTAAAATTTCATTTTGTTCTCTTAGAAAGCGACCTTCTTGCTCATATTGTCGTGCTGAATTTTCGGATGCTGTCACACGAGTACTAAAGCGAATCGCATCTGACTAAAATAAAAAATTGAATTTAATAAAGTGCAAAGATTTTATTGCTTTTAATTCCTTATATAAAAAAATTATTTGTGTATATATTATAATTATACAGTATTCGATTTGCATATATAAAATGAAAAATATTTTTTGATATAAATAATTATTAATAATAATTTTTGAAGAAAAGAAAAAAGGAAAAAGAAACTGATAACTGCCAGTTTTTACATCATTTGATATATAAAACTTTTTTTAAAAATTACTCTACAAAATATTCCATTTTTTTACTGTTAAATTGAAAAATATCATATAATATCATATAATTGAAGTAAAAAAGGAACTAAAAATAAATTTCAAAGTATTTTTTTCAACGTTTAAAAAATTATCAAAAAAAACTTTTACTTGAAGAGTAGCAGTTTTTCCTTCCAAATAACGACATCTATTTTCAGCCATTGCTAATTTCCCCCTATAGATTGCGCATTCATAGCATTCTCGAGATGCAGGTGGTGATGTACCATTACTTATGCTACTATGAGTTTCAGATGGTGATATATGACTTTCAGTTGAATCCGATGATTCGTTTATTGTATGCTCTCCTTTATTGCTATTATTATTGTTGCTGTTGTTGATAATAATACTATCAATGCTATTGTTCTGCAAATATATCATAAAATAATTGAAATATATCAATTTTTTTTAAAAATAAATCTATTTTAATCACTTAAAATGGTATAAAACAAATTTTAAAAATTATTATCACACTTACCGAAATACCATTCAGAAGGTTTTTGCATTCATCGTTCTTTAATATTAGAGTACCATTCTTTGGGGAGCTATTTATTGCCGAACATAAATTTGGCATTGTTTTAGATGAAACAATTCCAATAGCAGCATTAGAAGCTGGCGCCAACAGTGATTCATGCAGGATTCTGAAGGCATCCTTTCACTAATACATTTTTCGTACATACACAATGACTAATAAACACCTGTGTACAATAAATGCTTTGATAAAAATTTAAAATGGAATCAGAAGGCATACTTTTTATTGTCTGTAATCCTATTCGCGCTTTTAGGTCGTTCGATATTGTCATTATTATTATTATCATTATTATTATTAATATTATCATTATTGCTATTATTGTTATTATTATTATTGCTCTCTTCAGGTTTTATTGATGTTTCAGCTTTTGTTATTTTTGCATGCTTTCCGTTCAATTCTACCTGAAAATACATCAATATTGCTAAAAATATTAATTCGGTAATTAAAATAAATCATCATATAAAATTTAACTTTTTTCAATCTAATAAACAAAGAAGAAAAAGTGGAACTATTTAAATTCTAATCTGATAGATATTATAGTAAATAGATATTTATTATTTCATTCTGTTCGTTTATCACTTTTAATCCTTTGATTCATTTATGGTAATGACAAAGATTCTTGAGGTAATTAATTAGTTAATTAATTCGAAAATGTCGCATCAAATATTCATTAATTACAAGCTATCCTTTTTTCCAGCAAAATTTACTGGCTGATAATATTACATACCGGAATGATATCACTAAATCACATAGTGAAATGATATTACTATTCTTATCATCCAGATATTATTTTTATTTCTTCTACTAAAGCAAAAAAGAAAAATAAAGTAATACAATACAATGTGAGATTGATGTTGCTCGTTGCTATTACTATCCGCTATCATATCATCGTCATATTCTTTATCAACATTAATTTCGTCCTCTTCAGCAACCAAGTTCACATCGGAATCCTTCGATGAGCACATATCCAGTGGATTTCCACCATTTGCGTCTATGTTAAAATGATAAATTAATTCAATCTAGTTTTTAGGATAATAATAGGAAAAAATTCATACAAATAAAATTTATAAATTTTATGCGTTTTAATACTCATTACTAATTAAATAAATGAAAGAAAAATTTTCACTTGATTGATTCATTTTTGGATAAGTTGAAAGCCATGCAGCAAGACCAAAACTGGATTGCGCAACCAAATTATTTAACAACAGACGTTCACGTAATTTCGACATTAAATCATCAACATGTGTTCCACTTCCGGATGCATCTCGTAGAAGAGTCATTGATGGAAATAAAGTTGCTGCTGCTGCTGCTTGCAATGCTGTAAGAATAATCATTAAGTATAGAAGAAATGTGGATAATAAATTTTGATTTTTTCTGTTATTCTTCCTAACAACTCACAGGTCTGTTCGGTAAGACTGACTGCTTGTTGAGGTGCAAAGCCAACTAATGAATGAAGCTGTAATGGAGCAAATGGATTTGTTGCCGGAACACGTGGTTGCGGAACATGAAGCGCTGACAATTGCGGTGAATGACGTCCTTTTTCCGTTAGTCCGCTCTGACCAGTTAGATTCTCATTTTGTTGTTGCTGTTGCTGCTCCTGCTGATGTTGATTTTGATGAGTAGCTGGTGGATTACCTTTACCGATCACCGGTACCGATATCGTTTTACCTTCTTCTTTTGCCTAAAAAAAAATTGAAACGCATATTAAAATACAATATTCGTTTGTTTGTTCGCGAAATTTAAAATCTGTTAAAATATAAAAAATGCTCATCGATTTTCACATTAAACTTTCATCTTATTATCATTATTTCTCTCTTTATCATATCAACGAAATACCATTTTAATTGCTTCACATAAATTATAAGACCTGGAATAATAATGCTTATATTACAATAATTTTACTCCTCTTTTACTTTTTATCATAATATCAGTCAAAATCAAATCCTAATATTTCCAAATACTTCTATAATCGTTTTTTTTTTCTTTTTAAAAATATATATCATAATTTTGAAAGTTAATTTAAAAAATAATGTAGTATGTACATATCCATATATAAATCATAAAATTGCAGTGAGAAAATTTTTAAAAATCAAAAACTTGAAGAATAGTGGTGTATTACCTGCATATGCATATGTAAACTTGTTTTATCCGGGAAAGCCCAATTACAACAACGGCACATGAACATACGTGAAATTTGATGCTGCTTGTACATATGTGCTCGAAGTGTTTCATTGCCTATAAATTAATTATATGCAAATGTAATTAGTAGTAAAATGAAAATTGCAAATAGTAACTATTTTTGATTAATCAAATAATTAAAAGAATTAAGTTATTTCATTTGAAAAAAAAAAGATATTTTATTATGATCAACAAAAACTTAAGCTTCAATATTCATTCTTTTGTTTTTCATTTAATATTATTAGCTTAATTAATGAAAAGATTAAAATAATAAAATGAATGAATTGCTTAAATTGCAAATTTTCATTCAATCTTTGTTCCTCCTATTGTTTTATGTGATAATAAAGTCTTAGTGATTCCCGAGAACTTCAGATACCTCTTCTTTTTTCTCTTTCAATCAAGGTAAATGCAATATATCGATATTCTTTCTTATTAGAATAATAGTTGACTAATTAATTAATTCCAGTAATTAATTCTTTTTGTTTTTTTTTCTTATAATATAATAAAAAGAAATAATTTCACCAAAGTAATGATAGTAAAAATAATTAAACCCTTTTTAGTAATACAGAAAAATGAATGTAAATGTTAACGAATTATCATTTTGATGTTAAATAATATCTCATTAAAAGATGCAAATCTTACTATTATAGCAACTAATCATTAATTTTAATTCAATCTTATACTCCATTTCACATTTTAATTTTAAATTATAGGATGATGTTATTTGTTATTTTAAAAGGAGAGTGTGAAAAAGAAATGAAACGTATAAAATGTAAGAAATTATTGGGTAGGAAAATTTTAAAGAATAAATTCAATTTTTATCGAAAGAAAAAAAAGGAGCATTAAAAATTAAATTGGAAACTATTCGTCATACATACACTCTTCTTCATTATGAAAAATAGTACATTGATGAATTGTTTTCAATTCTCTCTTTTATTGTTTTCCATTAAATTTGTATTTGTTTATTTGTTTCTTATCTTTGAAGAAAACAAGTGAAAAATTGAATTCATCCCATTCATTAATCTATTTATACTTATCCTTTCTTGCTCTTAGAAATTAAAGACTGGAAGTATGAAAAATATTTCGTGTATTTCTGTCAATTCAAATTAACTACTAATTTAATTCATATAATAGTACGTTCAGTTTAAAATTCATTATCTCTTTATTATTCATCTCTTTTCTTTTCATTCGTTTCTTTGTTCCTCATCCTTTCAATTTTTTTAATGATCAATTATAATGCTGATAAATGATGACAATTGCTGTTGCTACTTTATTTTTTGATAAGATGATAATTAATCAACTAATTAATCATCTTTAATTACTGCTTGTTTTATTACCGAATAAATTATTTCGGCATGTAATTCTATCAGCAATAATGTCGAAGAATTATTTGCAAAAAGAAGAAAATGATAATTAATTCATTCAAATTAGTACAAAAAAAAAGGAGAAAAGAAATTTAATTTAATAAATTTCAAAGGAAAAAAAAGTTCCAATTTTTGCAAATAAAATAAATATTCGTGAAATAATAATAAATTCATTCACATCTTTAAAAGCTATTATATTTATATTGAAAAGAAAACAATTATCATTCAACCGATTAATTTAGTACCAGTGAAAATATCATTATTTATCGTGTTATATTTTAGAATTATATTGAAATTAAAAAAGATAATAATAATAATAATAATAAAACTTACCAAAATAAAACCACTCTTTATAACTGAAACATCCTGTTAGTAGTCGATGATAAGTTATTCTAAAGAAAGTGCAGAAAACTATTGTAGAAAACTAAGTGTAGAAAGTGTAGAAAACTAAGTGTAGAAAACAAAACTTAATTTTCACACTTAAATTCATTTATAACATAAAAATGATTCCTTTATTTCTTCTTCATATGATTGAAAATATTATTCATCGTTAAGTAAAAAGTGATAGTTGGGAGAAGAAAAACGAAAGAAATTTAAATCAGTAATATAATAATTCCATTGAATTGTCTTGTTAAAAATGATAAGATGGATATTTTAGATAAAGAATGAAATGAAAATAGAATTAATTGAACTCGTTTGTCTTATCAATCAAGATAACTAAAAAAAATGGTAAAAAAATATTATAAAATAGATTAATAGCTTTTATTTAAAATGAAATAATTTAACACAACTGGAAGGAATTAATTAAGAAAACAAACAATAATCCATTCTATTTATTATTTTCAAAATAAAAAAGAAACAAAATTTCTTTGTCAAACTGAAGAATATTTCTAATAGTGAAAATTAAACTTATTTATTGGAAAAATAAAATATATGAAATGGTTTTCAAGTAGAATTTCTATTTATACGTAAATTAGATGGAATTCATTATAATTGGAATGCATGAAAGTTTGTTTTCATTAAATATTAAACAATTTTAATTCAATTGTTAAATAAAAATGAAGAAACATTTCGCTTCGGTCACTATGTTTAGTAAGAAAATTATTAAAATCAAAATTTTTTACTGTTGCAATAATTGTATTAGCAGTAAGTAATAAATATAAAATCTTTCAGATAATTGCGAAGTTTGCTTCTGAACTAAAAACGATAAGTAATATATTCAGCTAAGAAATCATTATTAAGTCATTAAATGAGTTCAATTAAATTAATAAATTAAACTATTCCAATTGTTCACAATGAGAATATAAAATTTTCAAATGATCTATAATAAGTTGATGGAGTATAAAAGTAATATATAAAAGTATTTCATAGGTAAAATTAGAAAATGATGACTTCCGGTTACCAATGAAGGAATTAGAAAAATGACCAAATAATGGACATTGAAAAGAAATACATTTTCACATTTTTATTTTCAAATATAATCATCCGTAATAATTTTAGGATTTTAGGATTCTATTAATTTTATCGCACAAATGAGATCAAGGAAAAGAGAGAGAGAGAGAGAGAGAAATGGAGAAGAAATATGATGAAAAAATAAAATATTTGAAATCCTATCATTTGCTTTACATCTAATTGCAAAGATATCTGTAAAAAAATTATCAAAGTAAATATAAATGATATTACCGCGTTGATGTATGACTGTTGTTGGACGTTGTGGTGCAATCAGATGATTATCGTTAGTTGCCCGTTCTGTTGTACCACTTAATGCTATCATTTCCATATAATTTGCTGAATGATTGTGGGGTACGGTGCAATTTGTTGTATTCGCCATTTTTAAAGTTCGAAAATTATTAAGATCTTTAGTATTTCCACGTGACTGTTGCTGTTGATGCTCATGATGTGGATGATGTGGATCATGTTGCGGATCACCACGAAGTTTACGCTTACGTGATCCAGCAAAACCAGCCCATTCATATGCTCGAAGATATTCATGTTTCCGTTGTAAAATTCGGCAAACATTACTTTTAGCAATTGAATAACGTTCCGCAATACTTGCCTGGCTCATTCCGGCATTTTCTTCCGCTAAACGAATTAATTGAACTTTTTCTTCGAGCGTTAACTCTTTATATGGCTTCTTTTTACGTCGTTCAGTTGTGGTGGTAGTTGGAGTAGACGAATCAACGGCCATTTCATCGATATGATGTCGTGCCATAACCACTGTTGTTTCATCTGTTTTTGTTGTTGATTCAACACATAATGCCATAGGTGATAAATTTCCCATAGATCGAGGTTTAACTGGTTGAAAAGCTCCACCACCACCACCATCACTGGTACTACCATCACCAGTACTACCATTACCACCATCAGTATCACCATCTTCATGTTTATTCCATTTGTTATTACCGCTGTTGTTGCTATTACTACTACTGCTACTACCACTACTACTACTACTATTTGCATTTTGTAACATGAGAATTGATAATTGAAGTAATAATTTGCGCTGTTCCAATCGTACAGGAATTATAAATTGCTTCGTTTCGCATCCAACCAAAAATAATTTATTGTATAACCTCAAAGGGAAGTAGTTTTGTTCATGTACGAAGCATTAATAACAATAATAATAATAATAGTAGTAAAAATAATAAAATAGGAAATTTGCATAGAATAATATTTAAAATGAATAAATTTATAATATGTTGTTGCTATTGTTGTATTTTTCGATGAAAGATTTTGAAAATCATTATCGTAATAATATTAATGATAATAAAAATGGAATAGTAGTAGTAATGATGAGTATTAAACAAAATTGTAATAATAAAAATTACAGTGGAAATGAGCACTGACTGATAAGGGTGTAATTTTAAGATAGAAAGGTAAAAAAAAGAGAGCATAGGATTAAAGTAAATGAACGGAAGGATGAATATGGAGGATGGATATAGGAATGGATGGATGGATGGATGGATGGATGAATGGATGGATGGATGGATGGATGGATGGATGGATGGATGGATGGGTTGATGAACGGATGGATAGATGGGCGTATGTTATGAGAGAAGAGTAAAAGTATTTTGATTTTGAAAAAGGGGTGGGTGGGGGGGGGAGGGAAAGTGAAGATGAAAGTGAGAAGATTTTTCGATGACAGTGACACGATTTAAAGGATGAAATGGTAAAATGAGGCAGGGAAGATAAGAAAATGATGAAAATGAAAATTATTGTTGATTTATTATTGTTGTTGTTGTTGTTGATGTTGTTATTGTCATTGTTGTTGTGACCACTAATTTTTCACTGTTATATTCATTTATTTAATGACATAGAAAAAGGGAAAAAATGAATGATATTTAATTTGTCTTATTTAATTTGTGTTTAATTTGTGCATCCTTTTTTTTTCTCCAAATAGAAAATTATATTTATCAATGGAAGCGAAACAAATAATCATTCTTCCAAAAATATCGAATAGCTAGTAATAATAATAATTATTATCGTATTCATAATAATACTATAGCAATCGTGATAAAATTAATACTAACGATAGCAATAAGAATCATAAATGATAAGGAATGAATTTGAAAAAAGAAGCTTGTAATAATTATTAATAATTTTATTGAATACTATTGATGAGTAAAATGAATCGTTAGAATACGTTTGAATTTGAATGATAAAATTTATATGTAAATAAATAGATGAATAGATAAAGCAGTAAAAAAAGGACTGGAACATCTCTTTTAAAATTAAGTAAAATTTTATTTATCTTTTCTTTTATTGCTATTTATTTTGAATGGAAAAATCAAAGTAGTAAGAATTTTTATTATTTGATCATACATCTATCCCTCTATCTATCTCATGTGGAATGATTTTTGTATAAAATTAATTAATTGAACTAATTAATTTTTTAAATTTCAAAAAAAAAACAATTTTTGCTATTTATTTGTTTTATAATACTACTTTTCTACTAGTAATTGTTATCAATAATTCGTAGAAATTGAATGATATGAATAATTATAATTGTAATAGTTATGATGATAATAATAATGATAATAATAATAATGGTAGTGACAGGTGTAGATGAATAATAATAGATAATGCCGTTGTTATTATTGTTATTTGTTATTAACGATGCTGTTAAGAAGAGATGAGCAAAATGATGATTAAAATTAGACCAAAAGATAAAAAGAAGAAGGAAATTCTTACTGTCCTTCGTGTTTGAAATGGATCGGCAAAATGTATTTTCAACAAAAACAACATTAAATTGAAGTGAATATAGAATAGACGGAGATAACAAACAAACAAAAAAGAAGAAAGATTTTGAACATTTTAATGGAACAAGTTTTCAATATCGGAAAAGAAATAATAATAGAAATTGGAGGGGGGGGGGAAGAAGAGGTTATTCCTAATTTTTTATCATATTTCTTTTAGAAGAATGGATAGATTGATTAATGACAACAACATCTTTTTAGGTAAATGAAAGAAAGGAAGAAAATGGCCGATATCCAATTAGGAATTTCGTTTTTTTCTTTTGCAAAAAATTAAGTGAAAAATGAAAAGGGAAAATTAGTTTGTTCTTTCTTTTTGTTTTCATTTCTTTTCTATTTATTGTTTATTATTTTATTTATCGTTGTTGTTGTTGTTGTTGTTGTCATAGGTAGAAAGAGGTAGAGAGGGCATGCATTTTTCATCCTTATTTTCCTTTCCTTTCTTTTCTTTTCTTTTTTTCACCATATTTATTTTTTGAAACCTGTTTTATTAAACTTATTGAGAGATAACAGATAAGTAACCGTTAATCGTTGTTGATATTCTTTCAAAGCTGATGATTGACTGGACATGACTGATGATGACAAATGATAGTGATGATATTTTTATGTGGTCATGACCATGAATAAGATGATAATGATAATTAATAATAATGATAATGTCGATGATAATCTTTTTCTTGTTTTTAAATAAAAAGAATAGAGAAATTTTTTGAAATATCCTTTTAAATAAAAAGAAAGAAAAGAGAGTGGAAAAAATATTTTCTTCTTTTAAACAAAAATGGTATTTGTTCTAAAATTATATATATATATATGTATATGATTAAACCATATACGTTTGATAAAGATAAAAATACTTACAATTCTTCATTTTAATTGTCAATTAACAAAATGTTTTTTTTTTCAAACTGAAATGATAATTGTTTAAAGAATATTAGACGTTATTGGCTCAATGATACATACTGCTTATATACTTACTTTTTAATAATTTCATAATCTCACGTAATATTTTTGAAATTTTAGAAAATTCGCTTTTCTCTTTATTTATTTAAACTTATAATTTAATCCTTGATAAATTTCTTTTTATTTTACTTTATAATTCTTTTTATTTCTATCTCCTATATATTTCAAGTAATATAATAAAATTTTAAAAAAAGGAAATGAATTTTATCAAAAATTTATCTATCTTGATCAAAAATAATTTTTAATCAGCAGCTCATAAAGATACATAAATATTAAAATATTACAGTTGTTTCCTTTTTTTCCAAAAGCTGCAGCATATAAAATATCAAATGATAAAATCTGTCGTCAATATGAATAGATTAGAGAAAAGAAGCATGCATATAAGTATCGTTGAAAAAATTAATTTATAATGATAAATCATGAATTATATTTAGTGATTATGATAAGGTATACAAATAACAAAAAAGTTTTAGCAAAAATGTTCTTAAAGTGAAATTATATTAAATTTATTCAGGAAAAGATTCTTATTCTATTTTAAAAAATAAGAACGAAGCAAAAGTTAATTTCAATCTTTGGCTTCCTCTTTCCAAATTAGACTAAAACAGATTTTCGAAATGAAATCATAATTAACAAAAAAAAAGAAAAGTAAAACAAAATATATAATTTATATAAAAAAATTATATGAAAAGTCCTGCTGTTGTTGTTGTCTTTTTTTTATTTGCGAAATTTAAATTTGTTGATTAATTGGGTTCGCTTAACTGAAATTTCTTTCATTCATTTCAAATTTCCTATTCCTTTCGCCCCATTCCCGTCATCCGTTAATCCGTAATTTGGTTTTTCATTGCCCTACGGGGATGAGTGGGTGGATGTATTTTAATTTTTATTTATTTTCTTTTCGTTTTTTATTGAAAGATACTACTCTCTATCTTCTCTTCTTTTCATCAAATAATTGCTGTATATCATTTGTGTTAGATTAAGCTCAAAATATCTGTTCCGTTTCTTTTCTTCCTTTTGTTTTATGAAAACTTGTTGAAATTCTTGAATGGAAGAAAAGGAAAAAAAGAACATTTAAAAGGAAACAAAACTGTCACATAAATTTTGATAGAACAAAATAGGCACACAAAAAAGAAATATCCAGTTTTCAGCTCATTAATAAGAGATGATGATAATTTTTCAGGGATGATGATCATGACGATGATGATACTGATGATACTGATGCTACTATTAAAATCAATAATTTTGTTAATCTTTTTTGATTTTTCTTTTTTTTCAGAATAAAAAAACAATCTGAATTTGCATGAAAAAAAACAATTATGAAATATTTTAAAATTTAAATATTTTCGATAATACTTTTTAAATCCTTATAAAATTATTCATTGTATAATAAAAATAACCTAAACATTCTAACAACAAAATAAATCACTTTAAATACATTTAAAATCAAATATTCTCTTCGCTAAATAAATGAAAATATTTCGCTAATAAAAATTCCTAAAATTTGATAAAACTAAATTTATTTACAATAGTAATACTTTAATTGATTTTGAAACAAATTGATTACTGTCAAAATTGTATTGTTATATAGAATGAAGGAAGAAGACAAAGAAAATAAATGTAAAATAACAATTAATTTAAACGAAATTAATAAATTGTAATAAAGTGATCTAAAAATAATAAACTGAAATTAAAAATTTACTCTATCAATTTATAAATTTTAACACTTAAACATATATATATAAATATAATAATATACATGTATCAAATAATTTTAGCGATAAAAATAAAGCATAATAAATCAAATAATTAAAAGAGGAAAGAGAGAGGGGGAGAGAGAGAGATAAAAACAGAGAAGATGAAATTGACAAACATTCTCACAAACAGGCAATTTCATTCCAATCGGTCACTCTGATACCAAAAAATGCTGTATATATTTGTTTGATATTTTATTTGTTACGAAAAGCGAATCCAAACGATATACGAAAAAATTTTCTTTCTAGCGATTAAAGAAAGTTGTTGATAGAAAATGAAATGCATATTGAACAAAACAAATAAGACATTTTTAAAACAATTAATAACTTTTTCATTTTTAATTAATAAATAATTATAAAATTTATTCATTTATTTTATCAATTAATCAATAAAAATATCCATATATGATAAGAATAAATAATGAAATTTACATTTCCTTTTTCTTTTTTTTAATCTTTAATATATGTAATATAATTTGCTATAAATTATTGATAATATTTAAGTATTTCAT